TAATAGGAACGACAATTTAGCAGACATGTTAACAAAATCTTTACTTATTGATAAATTTACAAATTTTCGTAACTTGTTAAAAATTAATCTGTATTGATTGTTAATGTTTTGTAATGTTATGTAATATCAAAGCGAGGCGGAGTGTTGAATATAAAATTGTCTCTGCCTTTACGCGTTTTTCTTTTTGTTGACACGTGGATAAAATGGCGTTATTTGTTTAAACTAATAATAAAATACTTATTGCACGAAAAGATCTATTTAGAGGCGCTGAGCGCCGCTATTAACATAAGTAACAGTTATTACATTATTTTTAATCAAATATTTAATAAAATGATCGATGAATGATGAATCGTTCGATATCCATTTCATGTCCGTTTGACATTCCTTTTAATAAAGCTTTCTTGTTTGCAGATAAAACTTCACCATTAGCTATGTGAATTTTAATTATATGAGGGAGAACTGTCACCTTTGTTCGCTTTCAAATTTAGAATTAACCATATTGTAAGTAGCGCCAGAAACCAATATAAAATAATGTTTATAATCAGTATGAGCCTGAATTGCACTCAAAGCTATAAAACTAAATGCTGAGTGATCTGGCTGACTACCTCCATGTTGGAGACGATTCCCCCTTCGGCCACGATATCCTCTTGCACGCCTATGGTAGTGGTTATTTGTTCTATAGTTATTGTAACTGTAATTGTTTGAATGTGAGTTAGCTTTAAAAGACATTTCTGTACTCGTTTTATTTTTAATGTTTAGTTCCTCATCCAACAATCTTGCTTTGAAAAATTCCAAGTTTATATTGGTATTTAATGTCTCAATTGCTGTAATTACATATTCATATTCTTCATTTAGAAACAGCAATAAATGGCTTATTTTATCTTCTTCGGATATTTTTGAGTGTAAACTCTCGAGTTCTCGTATTATCTGGTCAAAGACTTGAAAATGGTCTTCCAGTTTTTGGTTGTTTAAAAGTTTTAATGCTAACAATTTTGTTCTGACAGTGTTTGGTAAAAACACTTTTCCCCTGGAAGATACTATCCAATTTTTCTTATAATTTATTATACCTTATATTAAAAAATTCTAATTAGTCTTGTATATATGGTGCAAATGTTTGTCAGTAATACATTGCATGATCGTGGTCTTTGCAATTGCGTTGCATTTGATTAAATCGGTATCTGCTTTAATTTGTGCATGATTTTTATCTAAAACGTGCAGAGCTTGCTTTTCTTCCAATATGGCGCGCACTCGAAATTTCTGTGCTACAAAATGATCACCACGTAACTGTAGGAGATGATTTATACTAACCTAAGCACTCATTTTCTGCCCATAACCATTGTGCTCTTCTATAAATGAAATGAATCTTTTTATACTTTTTTAATAAGTATTTCATTATTAGTTCAAACAAATAATGCCATTTTATCCACGTGTCAACAAAAAGAACAACGTATTTTTCAAAGCGTAAAGGCAAGAGACAATTCGCACCCCTCATGGAAGAATGGCATAAGTGGAGTTAAGTCAAAAATCCAAAAATCGTTTATTGCTCCATTAGATACAGAAAAATAAAACCCACACCCTCTGTGATTCTTGGAACTCTATCTACAATATTAGTCGATAGAGTTACAAGAATTGGAGAGGATGTGGGTTTTATTTTTCTGTATCTAATGGAGCAATAAACATTTTTGACGTAACTCCGCTGATACCATTCTTCCATGAGGGGTGCGAATTTTTTATTGAACAAATTGCACCATTTCATTTCATTGTCACTGTGGAAAATATAACTGTAAGTATTCCATTTTGATCGCGTGCCTACTAGAAGGCGCCAGAATATTAATTGCGTCGGCGTTGGCTTAGAACTTCGTTACATTATTTTCTTTACACTTACGGAGGCACCTACAACAACTACAACTTTGTATATAAATTAGCATTTTAAAGGTTATTGCTCGTAGCGTTTTAAAAGGCGTTTGTATTTTCAGTTCGTTTCTTTAATTAAGTACTTGTCTTAGGCCACATCATCTACAGGTTTCACGACCTGTTAACTAAAGAATGAATCAGTTATTTTATAACTAAATTACCTAGGAGACGAAAACATTAAGTGGGTATCAAGTTTCATTATCGTGTGATAAAGATAAATAACACTGCATTGTTACGATTTATCTAGTAAGGAACTAATGACGCATACGCTGTGGTTTTGATAAAAGTGATAAGGAAAACCACTGCAATATGTGATTTAATTTACGAGTGGCTTTTGTGTATAATTTGACAAGTGTTTCTCCGACTGTTTATAGACGTAGTAAAATGGCATACTTAGGTAAAGTTTTTAAATTCGAAAAACACGAGAACTATGATGGATTTATTAAATCTTTAGGTAAGTAAATTTGCCATTAAGTATAATTGTCCCCCGCAACTCAGGAGTATAATATATTAACGTGACGCATAACAAAATGTACTTAGTATATGAAGACGTGAGCAATTTTCTATAGCAACAAACTTTGAGACGCGTGCCGCCCAAAGTAGCGCCAACGCTAGACCATGTATCGCCCGGGTGCAATCAATGTCCTGGCGCCCTCTAGTAGGCATGCGATCAAAATATAATACTTACTGTAGTACTTTCCCCAGTGATCGGAAATTCGGATGCAAATGGTGCAATTACAATTGATGTTGGAAAACAATAGCCCCTCTACTTCCTTATGCCTTGCACCGTGAGCGGCTTTGGGCGCTCCCTAGATCCTGCACCATAGGTAAAGACACACACTCACACTCATACTCAACATAGCCCCGCACTAGAGACAACCAGTGTCGCGGGTGCCATGGACACACACATATACAAACCACAAATTACACCCAAACTCACGAGAGAAATAAATGTAGGCCATACAAATATTTCTCTCGGCCCGGGAATCGAATCTGGGACCTCTGAGTGGCAGTCTGGCATGGTAACCGTTCGGCCACACGGGTAGTCAAAGACGGTAATGGTTATAAGCGTGTCTTACTGTTCACTCTGGAATAAGCTTATTCCTCAATCTCGAGAACCCCCAAAAAAAGTCGTGAATTAGTCGGTTCTAGTCGCAAGATTCTTAGTACAATTCGATAGTGGTCACGCTGGAATAAGGGACGCCATTTTCTATACTGAAGCTCAATTGAAGCTGATTACATTTATGTGGGTATTCTTTCAGGAGTACCGGAAGACAAAGCCGAGATTCTCCTAAGAGCAAAACCTAGTCAGAAGCTAGTAAAGAACGGAGACACGTACACGTTGAGCGTCATAACTACGGAATCTACAAGAAATGTGACATTCAAGTCTGGAGTTGCATTCGATGAGGATATTCGAGGACTCCTTGTAAGTATACGAGTACAGTACATAATCCAAGATTTATTATTTAAAAAATGTATTAAATTATTATAAATATTAATACAAAGATCGAACACAAAAAAAAAATTCCTTCGATCTGACAGGTTGGATAGATTTTTCATCGGCAAAAAAAAAACAAAGTTTTGTAACAGATGAATTGAGAAATTCGTAAGTACGGCTTGCTAATTCGACCTACAGCTATTAGAGTTACAGCTCAGGTAGATCTAGATTGGCATATAAGTAGACGCAGGTCCTAGTCGTGTCAGATCGCAGGAATTTTTCTTTGTATGCGATGTACGTATTAATATGGAATCATTTCACAAAAAAAAATATGAACATCATGCTACTGCAACATCATGAAATTCAATATTATATGTTGTTATTAATTAATAATTATATATTCCAATTTATTTATTTCAGGTGAAAACAAGAATAACCGTATCAGGCGATACATTAATACAAGTGCAGGATTTCAACAAAAAGAGGACTTTCACTTTTAAGAAAGAATTTACCGAAAACACGCTAAAAGAGGTACGTATCTACTTGATTCAACGTAGATATCTTGGTTTGATTCCAGCGCAAAAGCCGTGTAACACCAAGAAGATCGCATATTCATTTTGGTATAGTAATCATATATAATTTCATATATGATGAAAGCCGTTGGTTTAACCTACTATCGCCTCTCAAGAAGAGGCTGTGTACCTGTGGATTTCTCGGAATTTCTGAGCGAAATTTAATAGGTATTAAATTTACCTTGATCTTTTCGACGAAGGAAAACATCGTGACGAGACCTTCATATCGAAGAATAATAATAATATAACGCATACACTCACAGTCCCACACTAGGGCAACCCTGTATTACGGGTGCCATAGACACACACATAGACAACCACAAATTACACCCAAACTCACGAAGGAAATGAATATAGACCATACAAATATTTCTCCCGGCCTGAGAATCGAACCCGGAACCTCTGCATGGCAGACCAGCACGGTAACCATTCGGTCACAGAGGCCGTTCACAACCCTCGGAAAATGCGTGAAGTCCCCAACCAGTATTGGGTCATGCAGCGTTGCGGACTATTGCCTGAACCCGCCTCGCCTGAGAGGAAAGTTCCTATATCAGCGGTGGGACTTATAAATGTGAAATACATAATAATTTTCCTTTTAATACATGAAAATATCATCCAAATATATATAATAAATAATAATTATGTACATACTTTATTAGTATCATGTATCGTAATATTTTAGAAATAAAGTAGTATGTGGATTACACCACTTTTGCACTGATAGTCTCATTTAGAAAAAAGGCCGGTGGTTGTATCAACACTGCAGTAAATTCTTCACGTTTGGATTTAACTTTCCATTTAACAAAAACTTATTACGAATATATATTTTGGGAATTGAACTCGTGACATGTCACGTGACGCCTATTTGTTTAACTTGATTTGTTGATTGATATCGTCAGTTGTATGGTCTTAAGGAAGTAATTTACTCTGGTGATGGGAGATAACAAGTTAAGAACGACTATTCTAAGTATGACGAACTTTAAATTTTTGTATTGTTTCAGACTATCACAGCGAACTTTTGGGACGGTGCGGCGTATAGATACTACGTGGCCTCATAAATATATGAGAAATCAAAATTATTTTTTAAGTGTAATTTATTGTAAGGCATTAGGTAATCTACAGGGTCATTTGTAAAATATTAAGAACTTCACAGCACTGTATTACTAACATCACAAACAACAACTTTTCTTCTATGACTTTTAATAATTCATCACATTTTACTATCGTACAAAAAGAATAAATATTGAAATAGATCGTTATAAACGGTGATAACTCTGTGCGGTAACAAAAGAAAGCGCTTTAGCGTAAATATCATCAAAACGCTGAAGCGTTTTGCTGTGGGGAAGACGCTTGCACCTTGCACACGTAGGTAGGCCTTTGAGCCTAACTCAACTCACACGGGCGCAGAGTCGAAGCATCGGGACGCGTCATGTTTTTCGCCTATAGCATATTCATCTCTATTTTCCCATTGTTAAGGTACAAATTTGTGTTATGCAAATATGGAGTCGCGTCACGACGCGCGTCGACGCTTGGTTGCGCGTTACTTGGGCGCAGTGAAGCGTTAAATGCCGACCACGCTGTGAGCCGGGCGCACTAATGCGGGAATTTTTGTAATGCATGTTTCTCTATTCTAATAGGCTAGTATATGTGCGGGAATACGAAAGGTTTTGTGAACGTAGTATGAAATGAAAAGTCGACCCAACGTAAATAGCATTATTTATCATTCACATATATATATCATACACAGTGCGTGTAAATCAAATGTACGTAGACGCTCCTTGCATTCATTCACAGTGACCACGCCGAGGCGGGTGCGGGCGCGGGTGCGCGCGCGCGGTCTTGTAGATCTCTTGACTCGGCTTGTACCTTTTACAGTGCTTGGTTTAGCGTCTGTTTTTTTAATAATAATAATAATCTTTATTTTCTCTGCAAAGTGTACGCATACATTAATTGTTAAATGTAATAGAGCACAATATTTGCAGAGACTGGTGCCTGAACTAGGTTGATCCTGTATTTCAGGTCGCCAGGTCTCTACCTCAGGAAAAATCAATAACATTATACATTTAAGTATAGGCATAATAATGAATGTTGATCATACAAAATTTAAAATAGAGACTGAGTTTCTAAAATAATTATGCCAAAATTATGCAGTACAAAAGAAGTGCAATTGCTTGAGAGTGTGTGTGTGCGTGCGAGCGTGCGTGCTTGCGTGCGTGGTGGTTTGGCATTGTGAAAGGGAAGACGCCAAGACCCGCGCGCCCGCAATCCCCACCGCCGCGACGCCGCGCCTGTACTCTGAATATGAGCCCTTAAACTTACTATTATAGCTTACTACCAAATACAGATCTAAAAAGTGTTAGATAGTAGCAACAAAAGTTTATTTATGACATAAATTTATGATATAGTTATGCGATGTTGTTGTTATTTTACAAATAACTCTGTCTAATGGCAACTTTATCTTTATTAAATCTGTATAGTATGCACGCCACATCTGGATAAAGGCTTCCAGAATCGCCTTCCATTATTGTTTTATGATTATTATAATAAGGTTATATTATAAGCATACTAAAATTATAAGAATTAAAGTACGTACACTTATTTTTTCCTTTTAAACCGACTTAAAAAAGGAGGGAGGTTTTTGATTCGATTGTTTTTTGTGTGTATGTTACGCGATTACTCCTATGTTTGTGAACCGATTTCGATGATTATTTTTTGTTAGAAAGAAAATAATAATAAAATAAAAAGAAAATATTCCACCTCGAAGGGTGGCAAATAGATGTAATTCCACAAACTTTTGAGGTCAGCTTTTTTATAATTTTTATGGGATCGATTCTACTCGTAGCTTGACTTGTGGAGCAAAACAAGATCTATAAAAAATTGGAAGCATAATTAGTATTGGTTGTATTCATTAAAATGAATATTTCTGTAAATCTGTTTAAATGTAACTAGAAATGTCTAATTACAAGTGCCATTAGAACGGAATAAAAAAAACACATTAATAATAAATTAGGTACTGTAACCTTGGGCTCAACTCACACTGGCGCAGAGTCGAAGCGTCGCGGTCGCGACGCGTCTTGTTTTTCGTCTATGGCATACTCATATCCATCTTCCATCATTATTAAGTTACAAATTCGTATTTTTAGTTAGTAATTTTTTGTCGACCGTGTTCATGGGACCTGTAAAGGTCCCGAAACGTCGGTTTGATTGAAAAAAGAAATATACGCGATTTAAATCCGGAAAAATAGTTTCATTTCCTATACAAATTTGTGTTATGCAAATGTGGAATCGCGCGTCAACGCTCGACGATACGCCTTCGCGCGTCGACGCTTGGCTAAAGTCGAGCGGTTTCGCGCGTCGCCGTGCGTTACTTGCGCACAATGACACGTCAGACGCTGACCACACTGGCATGGCACTGTGATCCGGGCGCGCTAATGCGAGAGTCGTTGCTTGACGACGCGCGTCGTCATGCGTTGTGGTTGAAGAACAGGACGCGACGCGACGCTTCGACTCTGCGCCTGTGTGAGTTGAGCCTTCGACTGTAACCAACCATTACAACTTTGATAGCTAAATCTCGGAAAACCCGTTTGTTTGTGATTTTCTTAAATAATATTTCACTGCTTTTCAAGAAACGTGGCCCAAATAATAATAAAGTAACTATTATCTAATTCCGTGTATTTATATGGACAACCCCGTCGCGCGCCCGCGCTTGGTGTGTTGTCCTTCTCCATATAAATACACGGTAAGACCCATTGCGGTCACGGCCAGACCCGCACCTGCTCTCTGTGCTTCACGCTTAGACTTATTACATGGTTATATTAAAAATGTTGCAAAATTTTATCATGTACCTATAAGACATGGAGCTTTCTATTGGGTAGACGTTCTGGAACATCAAAAGTTTCTAGAGATTTTATTGCAGGGGGGCCAAAACACTATTAACCACAGTCATAGGAGAAATGAAGCAAAAGAATTTTAAAATAAATGTAAGTTTAATTTTTCACTAAGTATAAATCACAAAACACACACATTGGATTATTCTCATACAATTCTATTCTAGCTGTACTATTACAGTTTGAACAATACAAGTAGTCATTGCTTTCTATAGGCGTAAATGTTATCATACAGAACATGTTTAGATGCCGATGTGAACACCATAATCCTTGAATAAATTCATCACAACACTGACACTTATACCGCATTTCCACTTTAGTTAAATTCCATATATTTGTGTCAACCAAGTCACTGACATACTTTCTATTCTTTGTACAATAATACTCAATAAAATTCTTAGCACCAACAAACCATTTTAATTTTAAAGGGTCCAGCGTGCAGTTGCTGTGTTGATAACTATTATAGTATTCATTAATTACATTTTTTGCATGTGCTAATAGAATTTCTTCTTTAATAACTTCGATTGAGGTCTCTGGTAAGGAACCTTTTATGATATTTCTGGAGAATTTTTTCAAATTTAAGTACAGTGTTAACAATAGTAAATAGAGTTTATGTTTGTACACATTTACATTGCCCGATTTGTATAATTCAACAAAATTTACTTCCGGCATGATTCTTTGTTTAATAACTTTGCATCTCAAAATTTGTAAATGATCCCAGACATTTGTTAATTTATTTGTGGGATTGTTCAGCAGTAATTCTATGTCATTTTGTTCCGTATTATGAAAGAAAATTATGTCCAGTTTATCAATGTCTTTTCTATGTGATACTTGTCGGTTGAAAAAACCTAAAACCCACCAAGCCTCGTTAATTGACTTATCAAAGCTATACAATTCGCAATTCCGATATTGGTTTAGTTCAATGGCATGAACATTGATGTTCAAATCAGTACTCATAATGCTGAATGTAATTTTAAAAATCTGGCTATTGACTGTACTTAGATAGACACAATGTTTCCCTTTTCTGATATTGGTTATTCTCTTATCATTTACATTTCTTGCAACTTGAGAAAGTATGTTGTAATTTTTGTCTAATAATAATATTATTAAATGGCGATGTTTACTAAAGACCAAAGCAATTTTGTTATCTATGACAGTGTGTACTATGTGTTTTGCTACCATTCTATCTTTATAAGTCCACAAACAAGCTGTGTTAGTGACAAGCAGATTTTCTGCATTCTGGCAATCGTATACATTAATTTGTCCAGATACATTTGAGCAGATCAGCAAAAAGGAATCATCACATTTGTGTAACCACATTACTGTATGTATTTCTTCATCGGTTTCAATCACACCTCTAAGTTCCGCTTTTACTTCTTGCTTGAAATGTATTAGCCAAATTAGAATATTACCATTTCTCTGTGCAGTAACAAAGTAAAAAGAACTGTTGAATAGTTTAGGTCCCCAACAAAAAGAAATAGTTTGTATAGCTTTTACTGCAGTTTTTAGTGCTTCTATAGTCTTCGGAGTCTCCATTCCTTTACTTACATAAACTTTAATAGCTTTCGATAAATTGAATAGACTTTCGTAATAGCTTATATGTGGACCAAATAATTCTATATTGCCTATATTGGTCAAAACGGCCAGCACATGTTCGTTATTTCTTGTTACTCCTTCTGGGGACCACGAAATCATTGTAACGCTTGTCATTTCCTTTAAAAGCTGAGGATTATGAGGCCAAAATGCCGAATCCATAATCATTTCTGTATAGTCTAAATTTTTCATTGGTTTAAGAAATAAATCTCTGGAGAAAAATTCTGTAGCTGGACTGTGCTTCGGAATAGGTAAATAACTGACCGAATAGTTGATATCCTTATCCACACAATACATGTTGTGGGTCAATTTTAAGATCTGAATACCGCGATCGGTACGCACTGCAATGTTGGAATTCTGACACACAATTGAAGTTTCTTCATTTTTGTTGATTGTAATATTGAGTTTAGTTACTTCTTGCAACATTTTATGATGTAAATTGTTTAATTAAAGGTCGAATCAGACCGCAATCTGGCTGAAAATTGTACAACACGCACATTGAAACACCGAAACGCCAAAATACCTACATGTAGCCATTCTATAATTGTCAGCTAAATGCGCTTAGTTTTCTATTTATAATCACATTTTCCAACAAAAAATGAGTTGGAACTAGTCTGTGATGATGGTGCGTTACTGCGCTTATATAATTTATAAAGTGATTATAATACGCGAGAAAAACGCATCACTTTGTAAGTGTTGCAATTTATATTGATTATAAAATTAATGTTACTAGTGGTATTAAATATTAAGCAAATGGTAAATAAATTTAAAAAGAAAAAAGTCATAATAGTGGTTTGTGAAGTTTGTGGTTTGTGAATAGCACGTTTTACGTTGTGTGAATGTTGAGATTGTTCAAATAATATAAGAAAATGGTATAAGTTGGACTATTGTAGTAATGGGGAAGCGACGGTATAATGCTAAGGCGCGACAAGTGGTGAAAACTAACATCGACAATACGCAAACAAATGAGGTAACTAAAATAATTAAATACTTTTATTTTGTTTAGTGACCTCAAGTTGTTTCACACGTCCTTACTTTATGTTGTATGTTTACTTATGGTTCGCTGAAACGTATTTAGACGAGGGCACCATCATTTTAATTTTTTAATTACTGATTATTTTCAACAGCATGAAATACGAAACAAAAAGATCTTTCTTTACAGCAAGGATAATGTAACCATTAAAGTATTAGTAAAATTTTTCGTCCATCAGAACTGGCTAAGGCGTTTCATACTGCCAGATCTTACATCAAGATTTTCAAAATTTTGATACCAACAACGTTAAAATGAATATACTGCTATGTTGTATTAGCTTGTAAAAAAAGTATTAATTTATTTTTCTATTCAATTTCAGATCAAAGTAGAATTTCAAAACAAAGAATATGGCTCGTCAGATGCAAGCAACCTCCTGGTGTTACCAACCAAAAAGCGTCAGACAAAAATTGTTAAAGATAAACATGAGAAAATCAGAATTTTATCCAAACAACAGAGAAAAAAGTTGGAGAAAATTGTTGATAAGCGAAAGAAAAAAGAGAATGTAAGTTTAGCATTAGAGCGCCTTGTGAAAGAGTTTGTCCAAGAAAGTATTGCCACCGTATCTATTTCTTCCGCCAAGCAGTTTTTTTTTCCTTTCTTTATCCTGCGATCAACCTTGTGCCAAATTTATGTCTCAGGGTGATAGGTGCAGTGACAGTACACCTGAGGTCTTTGCGATTAAAGCTCTTAATTAGCATTGTAGCTGTTATTGGTAGGCACATTTGTGGCTTACCACTAGGCACACAGCTTCTTGCTCCCGTAACTTGATATCATAAAATGTTTTCTCATAATCTGTGCTGACTGCTGTATAGAACTTTAGGAGTGACATACACACTCCTGGATACAGGTATACTATACTGCCCTCATAATGAAAAAGGCACAACTTTGCGTAATTTATATGACAACTGTGCCCTTTATCGTTTCGAAGGAGTATAGGAGATTACATTTTACTTAACAGTTTTATTTTGTCTACTGTAATAGAATAAATAGTCGTCATTATACTTTAGAAAATAATAATTTTTGGTTAGTAATTAAAAAAGTTTTACATCCCATTGTGAGTGACTTTGAAATTAGTGTGATACTCTACCTTAGAAAAGTTAAGGTCGCAGTATATAGTACAGAAACGGGAACGAGAATGGGCAAAATATCATCAATGGTGATGATTTTTCACATCCCATCGCATACACTTAAATACTGTTTTTTATATGTAACGATATTAACAAATCCCATATTGAAAAAATCACATTATATATGCTGAAACCTTTAATTGACCTCCTAAAAGAACGACCTTGAGATAGGCATATTTGTGTGTATATATTCTGTGTTGGATATATTTTACAACAACTAATTTATATCTATAATTTGAAAACAGTTAATTCAAATAAATAAAGAAATAAAAATAAATTGCATCAAATATAGTTTACTGACTAAGGTGGTTTACCTCTAAAATATAGCTGTGGGTTGGTACAAGAAGTGCCTAAAATAATAGGGACTTAGGGAAGCCACAGATATGAAAAATATACAAAATATATTTGATGAAATAATTTTATGTTTGATAATTAAATTTGAATATGTATGGTGAATTGAACTGCTTTTATTTTTTCACAATATTGTTGTAAATCTTCTTAAAATGATTTTACATGTAAAACCCCTTATTAAATTATTATTATTATTATATTATTATTATTAAATTTTGTCTTGCATATAATTGGTTGTGGGATTATAATAATAAATCTAAAATGTAATAATTACAGAGAGCTGCCCTCCTGGAATCCCTTTCACAAGTTCAAGCCACTCCTGATGAAGTGAAACAAATGACAACCATCTCTGCAATGCAGACTATTGGTTTGAGGAAACTCGTTGATTATGGACTTGACTCTCCAGTACAGGAGAGTGCTGGCAAGAATGAAACTAAGAAATTTAGTAGCATAGCTGGTAATATTTTTTATGATATGCTTAATGGTATGGGTTTTAAACTATTTGGAAAATAGAGTGCTTTTCTGTCACCTTTGCTATAAATCAGTAATTAAATGTTATAAATAATAATTTAATTTAGAAGTATAATAGTAAAATATTTAAATATGTTATTCAAAAACTTTACATGGTTTCCTAGGAGCTAAAAAACGTCTTCGTCTTTTGAAAATGGATTTGGAGAAGTCAAAAAAAGCAAAATATGATCCAAATGTTGTTGGTCTAGATCAGTCATCATCGGATGAGGAAAGCATAGATTCTGACAGCGAAGAAGAGAATGTTGTCAAAGTGGTAGAAAATGGTGGAAATGAAGTTGAAAATGAGGATATAGTGATTGAGAATGGAAAAGATGGAGTTGACACTAAAATAGAAACAGATAGGAATGTTATGGATCAAATAGATTTAACAAAATCTGACAATGTTTCAATGAATAATCCTGCTAATATTAGAAATGATAAAGGCTCCTTATCAAAGGACAATTTAAACAAATTAATAAAAGAAAATACAAAAATGGACAAAAATGCAGAAACTAAATTAAAAACAGATACAAAAGATTCTTTATTGGCACCAACAAAGCATATTGAAGTGAAAAGAGACCCTAAAATACAGGTAGCAAGATTGAAATTGCCTATTCTGGGCGAAGAACAAAGAGTGATGGAGTTGATTAATGAAAATGAATTTTTAATTGTGGCTGGTGAAACAGGTGAGTTTATGATTGCCTATTAAGGCAATAACGTTCGAAATGACGCTATTGATTTTAGAGATTAAAAATCTGCGTAGACAATTGAAGAATAAGTTCTTAAGGCGATGAGGTGCTCAAAATTGCTTAAATATGGTGTTTTTGTGTAAGGTTTTAGGCAATAACATAGCATGTGGAATTTTGAAAATAGTACATCCTGTAACACGTATCTTGAAGTGTAGCTTGAAAATCCTAGAATATTGCTTATTGTTATAGGTAATACAAAAACTGGATTACAGTGAGGCTCTGGTGGTTATTTTTTGACATATTTTTCTCGGGCAAACCAAACTAGCTTACTACCAAATTTAGTGTGGTTATTTAAACGGTACTTATCTTGATCCTGACACTTTATTTGTTTTAAATAAAAGACAAATAACAAATTTAGGAGTAAAAAGTAACTTTCGCCTACTAAAGTAAGAGCTAAATATTTGCCTGCAAATTATAGACAGGCACTTAACAGTGTGAAAAAATATCATACACAAAAAAATAAGTGAATATAATGCACCAATTCGTTCAAAATCAAAATCAAAACAAAATATTTAAAAAAGTCAAATTTAGCCATTAGGTGAGAATAAATAAAAATATATTTTTGGTTGGATTAGAACCTAAAACTAAAGTATTCAAAACAAAAATGAAATTATTGTTTGCGTCCTTGATTATTTATAAAAAATGTAAAATTGTAACGTTGAAAACTTCTGCTGCGTAGCTTGCGTTCGTGGGATACGTTGCCAGACCTCTGTTTTGACAAATTAACTTATATTGTATTGTAATCGGCTGTCTACCGTCGAGCACGATACTTACGAGATATGTAGTTGGACATAGTTATGCAAACTATAACCAACCCACAAAATGTCACTTTCGAGGTAATTAGATTTTTGTAAAAACAGTATGAAGAAATAAATAGATAAGTTATTTGAGACTAGAGATGCGCCGAGTACTCGTTTGCCACTCGGTACTCGGTGTACTCGGCCGAATAACTCGGTTCATGAGAAGAGTACTCAGTTAAAATAAAGCATCACAGCTACAGACATAATAAAGTAAAATCAACAATATATTTAAAATATTCAAAAGAGATTTATTAGGTACTAGAAATTGTAGACAATTGTAACATTTCTAGCAATTTAGTAATTTAAAAATAATAATAATAACGCACACACTCAACATAGCCCCGCACTAGGGAAACCCTGTGGCGCGGGTGCCATGGACACACACATAGACAACCACAAATTACACCCAAACTCACGAGAGAAATAAATGTAGGCCATACAAATATTTCTCCCGACCCGGGAATCGAACCTGGGACCTACGCGTGGCAGTCCGGCATGGTAACCGTTCGGCCACAGAGGCAGTTTACATTATTAATATTTAAAATTTAACAAAGACAAGTTATGATGTAGGAATATTTACAAGGCTTTCTGCGCGTTCAGGTAATAGTCTGTTCCTTTTTTCTTCATACACATTACCCGCTTCGGCAAATTACTGCTCGCTATACACAGTGCTTGCAGGTGTACATAAAAACACTCGTGCTAACTGTGCCGGTTTTGGATATTTTGTTTTACGCTCGGCCCACCATTGGAAAGGACTCTGCTCTCGCAACAATAAACTTTGTTTGACATATCGGCCTAATTCTAGAGCAACGGGAGCTTTTAGGATCATCGCGTTCCGGTTGTAATGAACCGAGTAACTCGGCCGAGTGCTCGGCTCGGCAAATGTTAAACCGAGTAATATTCGGTACTCGGTTACTTACGTTACGGTAAAACTTGTACTCGGCGCATCTCTATTTGAGACAAACGATGTACTGTAGCAGTGAGAACGATATAGGGAAACTATTATATTATATAGCAATAAATATAAAACATTATGTATCTTTTTATTTAGTTAACGAGAACCATGTTCTAGTTTTCGTAATGAAAACGTCAAAGATCTACAGTACTTCAGTACATGTGACATGGATCCGTTAAGCATATTTAAAAAAAAAACATTATGTGAAGTTATAAGAAGCAGCAAGGTTCGTTTTAGCTATTAAAAAGTTACTTATTTAGGGTTGGTACCCTCAAGGACTTTTATTTTCTCCGTTTTGGCTTGGTATGTTGCCAGGATCTTTTGTGAGCGGGTAAACGACACGTCTGGTGTTCTACCTAAATACATAACTCAATTTCACTCGAGGTGTGGGTTGTTTCTTGTTTGCATAACAAGTCCAGTTCTTCAACTTCAACTTCAACTTTTGTGTCTATGGCTCCGTCGTTTTGCGCGACGATTTTGCCAATGTCAGGGTTGAGAGACATGTGTAGCGGTAGTGAGACATTTTTTGGTTTGATAGCATGTGTGTATTTTAAGTACAACGCCATCTGTTAGCGGCAATCAATATTATGTTAAATCAAGCGGAAGGTCCAACTACCACACTCTTACCGCATCGGGGCTTATGGCGCCACCTTATTGGAGAAATTATAGTAGGCGCGTTATTGCTCAAAGTCATCGACGCAAGGTCATCGACGCTTGTCAGCGTCTTAAAAAATCCTAATAATTTATTGAATTTTTTTGGATAATGCAAAACATTTGGCTACTTAGATTAGTAGCGTGTGTACCATGACTTTGCAGTGTTTGAGCCGCTTGCAACTATCAAATAGTTGTAAAGTATTATATTGTTATTAGGGTGGATTCAATTGAGGCCTATACAGTAATTTTATGGTAGAGATACAATCACCTAATCGATTATCATTTCCATAGTTCCAGTCTTGAAACATTGAGTTATTGGTATCTCGTTTAGTGCACTGTCTCCACGCTTCCTGTGCACAAGTAAACTGTAAAAAAATGTACTATACCACTGTAATTATTTCCAGGCAGTGGAAAAACAACTCAAATACCCCAGTTTCTATACGAAGCTGGATACGCCGAAACCAAAATGATAGCAATAACAGAGCCACGTCGAGTAGCTACTGTAGCCATGTCTTCACGAGTCGCCTATGAATTAGGATTGACCAGTAAAGAAGTGTCATATCTGATGCGTTTTGAGGGGAATGTTAGTAAAGATACGAAGATTAAATTTATGACTGATGGTGAGTAATACTTTAACCGGTATCTAAAAATATTTACCTATACAATACCCTTTTCTAAAGTTCAAGCTTCCAATTTTAATTACGCACACACTCGTACTCCCTCACTAGAGAAACCCTGTATCGCGGGTGCCATGGACACACACATAGACAATTTCGCGATAGTTACACATAGGAGGTGAAACTATTTTTCCGGATTGAAATTGTGTATATTTATTTTTTCATTTTCACACAACAAACCAACGTCTCGGGCCCTTTACAGGTCCCATGGACCATGTGTAACAATCGCGAAAACCTAAGAACTCGATGTTAAGTAAGTTTTCGTGTAATTGTCTATGTGGTTTCGTGTAGTTGTCTATAGGTCCGTGACCATGGGACCTGTACAGGGGCCGAAACGTTAGTTTGTTTGGAAAAACATGTATATATGCGATTTCAATCCGGAAAAATACTTTTATTTCCTATAAGGCTCAACTCACAATGGCGCAAAGTCGAAGCGTCGCGTCGCGGCCTGTTTTTCAACTACAACGCATGGCGACAACACTCGCATTTTCGCGCCCAGATCACAGTGTGGTCGGCGTCTGACGCGTCACTGCGCGCAAGTAACGTAAGGCGACGCGCGAAACCGCTCGACTGTAACCAAGCGTCGATTCCATATTTGCATAACACAAATTTGTACCTTTTTTAGTGGGAAAATAGAGATGAACATGCTATAGGCGAAAAACATGACGCGGCGCGACGCTTCGACACTGCGCCAATGTGACTTGAGCCTAAGTTACTTAATGTTGATCCTTCTTTCAAATATGAATAAATTGTCATCTACTATTGACATCATAAATATTTTTTAAGGTGTACTTTTAGTTGCATTAGCATACTGATTGTTGAAGAAATTATAATGACCAATGAAATCTTCAATTTCCGGTAAACTCATTCGAGTTTACCGGAAATTGAACGAAGCGCAGAATTCAGGAAATACTCTGTGTTGCTATTTCAATTGAAAGTGACAAGAATCGAGTATATAATATTCGATTCTTGTCACTTGTAAAATCGATTCTTGTGAAATAGATTCCAGAAATAGAGACGAAATGTCATATAATTTGTTTGAAAACTATTCTGCCATACCATGACTGTGACAACTGCGCTCCGATTGGCTAGCCCGAGTTCGAAACAATTGACGGGTGTCGTCAATGGGTGTCGTCGACTGTTTCACATCAAATCGACCAGTTAACTTGAGCTTTGCTTTAATGGACGAAAATTGCAAAATTACATATTTAATATTTAATTACATACGATGAAATGTGATTCCGATTGTTTTGTAATTAGATGTTTTGGCTATTTTTCTCACACCACCGAATATAACAGCACGGCATTGTTAAAGATATTATCTTTATAACAATAAATACAGAATATTTTTTGGAATATACGGACACGTATACACAGGTCAATAGTTGGCCTGTTTATATTTCAGTGCAAGCGAGAGTTGATATTTATAAGAGCTGTATTGCTAATGTGTTACCAGGAATACATGGCCCTTATTTTGTCTATATTTCTGGTTATATACTCGATGGTGACAAGTTAAAAGTAAGAGTAAGAGTAACCATACTCGTAACTATTATAATTTAGTCGTCATACGGCATGAATAAGATGGTTAGGTTATGATTACGAATACAAAGATCGAACACACAGAAAAATTTCGTCGACCCGGTGAAACTTGAACCCACGACCTTGCTGCTCCGTAGAATTACTCTAACCACTGAGTCATGGGTCCAGTTACCGAGTCGTCGAAATTCTCCTGTGTTTTTTGTTATAGATCATTGTACTGACTGGCATTTCGGCATTTGTCGCCGTTTGTGACATCTATTGAGAGATTTCTAAATACCCTTCTCACCGCAACTGAAACCTTTATAGGTATCACAACTGACGCAGAAGTCGCTTTTCGATCAAATGTATTTATTGAGATTTTTTTGTGCAATAACTCCACCAGTTTTGTTATGATTATGAATATAGATAGATAGAGAATATAGAGGAGAATCACAACAAAACTAGTGACGTAATTTCACAAAAAAATCTTATTAAATAATTCAGTTAGGTTTAATAAAGTCATTCTTGAAATAATGCATTTCAACTGTTAATTTTAGGTGTCCTCCTTAAGGAAATTCAATCCGACTTCCTATTAAGCAAGTATTCAGTGGTGATAATCGATGAAGCGCATGAACGAAGTGTCTATACAGATATTCTAATAGGTTTATTGTCCAGAATAGTCCCTCTGAGGAGGAAGAGAGGGAATCCTCTGAGGTTGATTATTATGTCTGCAACATTGCGAGTTGAAGATTTTACAGAAAACAGTAGATTGTTCAAGGAACCTCCGCCTCTCATTAAGGTATGTTTCTACGTTGTTCAGGTTTCTGAGTGTATGCGTTATTATTATTTTTATAAATTCTTTTATAGATACAACTCGAATTAAAATGTTGTAAAAGCATACAGCTATGATGGATTGTAAAAAAAAATTACTTAGTATTTTTATACAGAAAATAATAATTATTAGAAACAATCTAATTATTAGAAACATGAAATTCTTAATAATAAGTATTTAAGTAGTATGTGGCTGATTTGCAGTTAAATTTGTTTAGGTAACATTTTAAGCGAATGTTTTAATTTTGAACTTAAGTAACCTGGCTTGAACTTGAACATGACCTGTGTAAGGAAATATGTCGTGCTACAAATTTATAAAAGCTCCTTACCGGCCATGGCTGTAAAGGAAAGAGAAAAGGCCAGTGGGTTTTATTTGGGGCATTATAGTCAAGTTCTCATCATACCATTTACGAGCAAGTGTAATGAAAAAATTCTAGATTAGTTCTGTTTTAACATCTTTGAATGAATGCAATCAGATTTGAAGTTTTTGTTATGATATACTTTGCAATGTATTTTTTATTCGACAGATTGACTCTAGGCAGTTTCCAGTGACAGTGCATTTCAACAAGCACACATACAATAACTATTTAAAGGAAGCATTCAAGAAGACGGTTAAAATACACACACGACTGCCTGAAGGGGGCATTCTCATTTTCGTCACGGGTCAGCATGAGGTAAGATCAGTGAATTAATGTATCACACGCTTTTTAATGTCTATTTAGAAGGTAACTCCTTTTGCTGCCCTACACACTTTTATGAACTAATAAAAGTTATAATCGCTCATGATAGACAGAGACCGAAGAAATTTTATAAGTTCTGTTTTAATCGTTTGCAAAGTTCATATAAATATAAATAAATAAATATTAGACAACCTCACGTTGCACTGATACCAAATAAAGTAACTAAAGTACTTGTGTTATGGAAATCGGGAACAACGACGGTACCACAAACACTCAGACCCGAGACAATATAGAAAGTTCGTTTCTAACATGGACTATGGTTTCTATATTGACCCGGTCGGAGATCCAATCCGGGACCTTAGAACACAAATATAGATATAAGAGATATAATAATAAAAATAATGTGCACACAACCACACCTATTATACTGCCAAAAAAGTCATAACTATGCGGACTCGTCCGCATAGTTGTGTCTTTTTTCGTTCCGAGGGCAGTATAAGTGCAAGAGGAACGGAATTCACTCCAGGGTGCTACCTAAAATACTCAAACGAAATGTTCATTTTTGAAAATGGTTCCTCCGGGAATGGAACCTGAGACATATTCATCCAGCGCCCACATTGAGTTTTTGCACCGAGGTCGTTCAAACATGACGAGTAAAATTCATTTTTTTTACTTACATGCACAAAATAATAACAATTATTATTAATCAGAAACCTAAAGTAGGTGTAATATTGTATTTTTTTAATTTAACAGTAGTTATAGCCATAAGCTATAAAAAATATTTTACGGCTCAAATCATAGATATGAAAAAAAAATTAATATGAAATGATGTTAAGCTACACGCCTGTCCCTAACAGTAACAACCACTCAGAGCTTCAAATCGCAAAAATCTGAGGGGCACCAACACACACTCGTCACCCTGAGACATAAGTTGACAAGTCCCATGTGCCTGTAATTTCACCAGCACCCTTACCCTTCAAAGTCGGAACACAGCAACGCTGACATTACTGCTTGGCGGCAGAAATAGGTAAGGCGGCAGTACTTCCCTGGAAGAACACTTTCACAAGGAGGTCTACTGCTACTTAAAGATATAACATGGATTACCAGTCTCTAATATTACCACATATTGTTTCCACTGTAATCATTTTCCTCAATTACCTAGGTGAGGTACCTAGTCCGCAAGTTAAAATCATCGTTCCCGTACCGCAAAGACGTGGACTACTCCAAGCAGATATCGAAGACCAAGAATGTCGCCGAGGCAGACGCTGCCTTGGATTCGGAACCTGACGATATACAATCTGACGATGATGAGGTACCGACAGTTTTAACTGAATTTATTCCTTTTTTTATGACACAAGTGACGGGAAGAACTAGTCGTGCGCCTGATGGTGAGCGGGTCCTGTCCATAGCAGTTCCAGCGCTATAGCTTTAAATAGCAAAGATCTGAGTGGCACTGCCACAGCGCCCGTTACCCTAAGACATAAGTTGACAAGTTCCATGTAATTTCACCAGCACTGCATGCTGACATTACTGCTACTGAAAAGTTTTTTTAGCTGTTTTTAAGATGGCGTAGCGTACATGCTGGTGTCGATAGCAATGGCTAATGGATGACGTGGACTAGAGGCTTGGTATAATACATCGGAGACGATTGACTTGAGTTCGAATCCCACGTACTACCTGAGGACTTTTTGTCTTGGAAGAATGCTTATTGTTACAATGTTAATTGCCGGTATCGATATGATTCAAGTTGGTCGAATTAAATGATTTATTCTGTACTGCTAAGCCGAAAGGCGCTATCTCTGATATACGCCTTTCTAGGTTTATACCATTCCATATCTATAATAATTTCGCATCTAATGGTATAATAGAAATAGCGCTATCTAACTTAAAACATTTAAAAAACCCCAAAGAAGTATTTTTATATCTCAATTTTTTCTTAAATTAATTT